ATCGTTTTTCATTAATCATTACCGCATTCCAAGCTATCTTATCGCTCATGGTTCAAAGTGACCCTGCATCGATACAAGGGTTAAAAATTTAATTTATTAAATATTGCTTACTATATGTTTAAAAGATAAATATGTACTATACCAGTAAAAACTTTATATTGCCTACTACTACAGAAAATTAGAAATATGAAATATATTTATTTTTTTATATTAAAAAATCACCTATTAGCTCTCATAAAAGATAATTATTTTTATAAAATAATTGCTTAAGAATAACATATTTTTAGTAAAACTAAATATAATTTGTTAAAAGAAAATTATAATGAGACTAATTTTAATATAACTATTTTGATTTCAATGGTAATTTTTATATCTTAATTTTAAACTTTAAATATTAAATTTTATATTTAAAATTAGAAAAACATTATTTGAAATAATGTTATAGATAATATTATAAAATATCATATAATATATTTAATTTTAATCAAATAATAAAATTGTTTAAAGAAATGTGTAGCTAACTCTTCAATTGTCATATTCATTAATGTTGTTTTATGCATTTTGAAAATTTTAATTAAAATAATTATATATATGTATATTATAGATTGAAGAAAACAATACAATATAAAAGATTAATATTATAACCTTTACTGAGACAAAGACTTTATTCTCGTACGTAGACAAAGACCTTTTGAAGATAATGAATCTTTATCACGATCTATAATGAAGTTTATTAAAAAAGTGTAGAAACCTCTATTCCATAAGATCAGTGAAACTTATCATTAAAATTTAAAAATAAGTTAATTTTATCAGTTTTACTAAAATATAAAGTATAAAAGCTTTTATTTTAGAAATAAGTATAACTTGAAAACTTTTACTATGTTAGATACAAATATGATAAAGCTTAATTAATGTAGTATGCTGTTTGTTCATATATCGAAGGCATAAATAAGCTACATTGCAAAATTATTTGTAGAGATTACATTCGTTTTCATTTATCGCATATATAATTTCTCATTTATTATGTTATTAATCTAATTCATATATAATTTCTCATTTATTATGTTATTAATCTAATTCAATACATATAAAAGCTGTATTATATTTTTTTACAAATTTTTCATATGACATAGTTTTCTCGAATGAAATAAAGATATTTTTTATAATAGATCTATTATTCTATTTAGAATCAGTAGCTTTAAGTGATAAATTCTATAATCAATGAATTCCATTTTATTCTCATCCTTCAATTTTCATATTAATGAATTTAAATGGAATTGTGTTTGACAGATATTTCAACGTTTCACACGAAAATGCTTTTCAACTGCTTGGCACAAATCCACATGTAATCAGAGAACATGCAAATGATTTTAACTGCAAGTATCACAACTTTTAATCACCATCAGTTAAAGTACTTTTTAATAAAACTTTTCATTAATTAATTAGCTTTTTAAGTTAACTTTTTAAGTTAATTGTAAAAAAGAACTTGACATCTATTTTTAAAACTCAAGTAAAATATGGTACAATACGCTTTATGTGTAAACTTTTTTGTAATAAAAAAGTCCTAAAACCTTTAAATAAAATTAGTTAAATAAAATTTTTAAATAAAATTTTCAATTAAACAAAATAAAAAGATTTCTTTAAATCATTTATATTCTCGTTCGATTTACCAATTTATATAGAATTGTAGATAAGTAATAAGACAAATACAAATTGTCTATTTTACGTCAAATGCAAATTGTCTATTTCTTCAAAAATTTTTATGACGTATATTAAAAAAATGTTCTCGATTTTTATATAAAGTTATAGTTGCATCGATAAATCATTTATTATAATACATAATGTTATTAATATATGGTGTGTGTGTGTGTGTATGTGGATGTGTGTTTATGATAAATAAAGAACATTACTTATGCGCACCATATTTGATCGTACTAACGTAAATATTGCTTATCTTATAAAATATGTAAATAAATTCGCAAAATTGAATCGCAATTAGTTTTTAAGATGAAGGCCGCTTGATTAAATCGCTATATCCACAGGAAATGTTGCACGTTAGAAAGTAAGTAGGATGAGGAAATGCATTGCAGAATGAATTATATTAAAAAAAGAGAGAGCTTCGAGAGAAATATCATAGTTAATTAAAAGTTCCGATGACACTCGTTCTTCTATCTGCTTTCCTTGAAGCAGATCTACTCGCATTTTTTTTCACATAAATGCCAACAACGTAATACTTCCTTTTTACTACGTTGCATATTAGTTAGGCAATTTTTGTCGTCGCTGCAGTTTATCATTTTAACTTTACTTTTATCATATGGGTCATACGATTGAAACATGTACTGACAAAAACTAAAAAAATTTCCAGTTGTGCAATTGTTCATTATGAAAGTAAGAAATTTAATAGCGAACAACTGTTTATTACTGCAAACATGAAATATGTATTTATGCTCGCAGGGAACGTATAATAATATATATTTTTTCACGTTATTCGTAATTGTTGCTTAATTTATTTTGTGCATTATGTTCCACATGAATTTCATTAATTCTACATTCATTTCAAAAATATTATATTATATTAAATTGAGAAATTTTAGGACTAGTACTTATATATATTAATTAATCAGCTTAAAATCGTCAAATTAAAAAAATACTTTCGTTTATACGATTTATAATATCATATTTTAAACAATAAAAATACACGTGCATTTTTCGATCCCAATATGATTAAATCTTACGGTCATGGATTTCTCGTCATTCAAAGAGAGTGATAAATGGACGGAGAGGAAGAATAAGAGAGCCAAAGGAACCTCGAAGATGGAAGAGGTCCTGTTGCCCACACGTCGAGAGCGAGTGCACTCCAGTAAAGTATTATCTCGAGAAAAGAAGAATTGTAATCCTTCTTTCGCGCGCTTGCAGATCTTAGAACGCGAACATATAATGCGATTTAAGTCGTGACAGAAGCCTTTGTACGTCAGTAATATTACAAATAAAATTCAGGAAATGGAAGAAGATAAATATGTATATTATAATATTGAAATATGGAGACTATATATAATATATTTCTGGAATTAGAAAAATCTTTGGATTATATCAAATACGATTTCGTGTTTGTCATTGGTTTGCAAAGAAAATTAAATAGCGATTTTTATTCTTTCTTACAAAACTTATTTCGCAATCGCGAATAATATAATCTAAATATCAAAATATTATACGTTTGTAATATAGAACATTTAAGATAAATTTCTTTTTTCTTTTCAATATAAAAAATAAGTGTCTTTTGTGTTTTGTCAATGTATTTGCTTAGAAAAATTATCAACATATGGAATCTCTTATATAATCTCTTATATAATCTTTTATATAATATTTTTGAGCAAATAATGTACTATAATCAATCCTGGTCCTGAATCCTCGACATGAAAATTAGTCCGAGATTAAAGCATGTGTGATAACAACTTGCATGTACCATAGTCCTTAAATATATTCGCGCTAACTTTTCATCGTTACAATCCCCCACTGTATAACACTAATGAAAACTATACTGAAAGTTTGTCGCATACTGCTCAATAGGGAACGTCTGCCAACAGAGATTCCGCTAGGTTAACTTAATTAAGCATGGCTGAATATCAAAGGTTAATGTAAGAATCTTATCACGTGTAAAAAAAAGACTAAAGGGTTACATTGAATCTAATGATTTTCCAAGGAAGTAGAGGCACAGTTTCAATTAGACAAAGCACAATTCTTTCAGTGGTCCGGAAGACAATTGCATTATCTAATAATTATTCTACGACTCTCTCTCTCTCTTTCACTCTTCCTCTTTTATCTTTCTCTCTTATCTTTATTACTTTCGAAAACTTTGATATCTTTAGCGAATTCGTATTGTATTTCATCCTTAAATTGATTTTAGCACTTGAAATTAAATATTGATAAATGATTGGACTGTTACTTGATAAATGTAATTAAATAAACAATACTGGATGCTCGTATCATTACATATAATTAACTTAGTCTATAATGTATATTTATTTAGAATATAACGTCTGTTAGACTTTTAATTATATCTGTGAATAAGAAAAAAGAATATATAGATAATTATAATAGCAGTAATAATGAAATTTCATAAAAGAATATTAAATAAAGAAATTAAATAATAAAATTATTGCAATAACTATTTTATTGCGTATTTTATGTAAATTCTTTTTAAAATTAAAAATATCAATCGATCAGTGTATTATATAATTCTAATATTCAGTATTTTAAACCTGGCTAAATATTCAATGGTATAAAATCAGGTGTTAATTACATCCCGATTTTCTCTCCGCTTTTATTTAATTGCATATTTAATGTGCTAATTGTATCGCTAATGGCATATACGATAAATATGGTTAAGTATAGTTTAACTGATTTCTGTAAATGTAATAAATAATACATTTTCGAGTAAAGTAGAGAATTGGATAAAAGATTTTTTTTTGTATTTCTATATTTTTAGATATCAGAAAGTTTATCAATATTAATAATAAAAAGTTAAAAAAATGATATTAAAAGATTTTCGAATGAAAAAAAACAGACGTTTTATGCAATAAACATTTTCAATTATTTACGTAAACTTTAAAAAAGTCTTAAAATACTTAGAACTGTAAATAATATAAAATTGTATATGATTATTTTGCAACTTTCATAGCATGCATTTTACGAGATTTATAACGCGATACACATCTTGCTTCGAGAACTATAATATTAATCTGCATTACATTGACCTGAAGAGCTAAATATAGAGTGTGAGATTGATAGTGATTTTATGCATGCTAACAACGTTGAAAGTAATATGCAAAACGATCTCTTTTGAAACAAAAAAAGAGGCAATTATGCAGAAAAAAGGATCAACTGTCACTTTGCGTTGCAAAACTATGAGATATATATACAGTTATTATGTGCAATACAATCGTTTTATTAAACTTCGTTAGACGATGATTAAATTTTATATATGCAATGCATAAACTTACCTCGAAACTAAGAAGCCCGCTGTGATCCTGGTCCAAAGTATTAAAAACGTAATGAGCATATTGGCTTGTATTGGCTGTAAAAACAAATATTTAAATTATTTCTTTACGTATTTTTATATTATTTATTATAAATGTACATCTGTTCTTTTATTTTTGTCGAAATAACAATTAGTTAAAAATAATGAAACATTACGCTCTATTAATAATTAACATGAGTATAAATCGGTATAATATTTGAGAAATTCTCATATTGTCATAATAATTGTATCCATATATTATCTAACATATCAGTTTTAACATTTGTTTGTATATAATTATTGCTAGAACTATTGCTAGAACTATATGCTAGAAATAACTGAGCTTTTTCATGATATAAGCCACATATAAATTATGGCATACGCAAAATTTTTTTTTTTAAATTGAAATAATTCGAATAATATTGATTCAAAATAAAGAATTTGTATTTCGTGAAGAGGAATTCACATCAAATAAGCAATACTTTTGAACTTTTTCATTAGTTCGACATTATTGAAACCAGAGTACATGACGATATTGATTTCGTTAAGAAACAGAAATATACCTTTAATGTAAAAGCATTTCAATCTGCCAATCTGCCTATATCT